GTACTTCGTCAAGGTAGGTTGTGTGTCTTGTCACACGAAAGATCCCATCTAATAGGACCGCAGATCAAAACAGGCGAACTAGGAAAGCGAATGATGCAAGGTACCTACGAATCCGAACTACTTTATCACTCTTACTGCCCCGAACATGTTCCAACACCAATTGCCTGGGGAGCCTATAAAGACCACCCGGACACATGGTTCTACATCTGCGACTTCCACGACATGGCGATGGTGAAACTGGATCCAAGTGCCTTTGTCGACATCATTACTGGGGTGCACAAAGCAAGTATGGGAAAATCATCGCTCGGCAAATATGGATTCCACATTCCAACTCATCTTGCTCACGTACCGAACAACAACACATGGGAAGATTCGTGGGAAGTCTGGTATAATAGAGCCATGCAGACCATGTATGATTTAGAGAAGAGCAGATACGGGATAGACAAAGAATTAGAAGTCATCTTCGAAGCTCTCTGTTCTAAGGTCATACCCAGGTTGCTCCGCCCTCTGGAATCCGGCGGTCGCTCGATTGAACCATGCCTCTTGCATTCGGATCTCTGGCCTGGAAACTGTTTGCTGGAGAAAGAGATTGGTAAGATCATTATCTTTGACTCATGTGCTTTCTGGGGTCATAACGAGTGTGACTTGGGTAGCTGGCGTGCTCCGCGGTACAATATGGGTGAGGAGTTCTTTACGTGCTACAAGGATATCGTGAAGCCCTCGCAACCAGAGGAAGATTGGGACGATCGCAACAGACTTTACGCCATGTTAGTACAGTCCCATGGAGGGAGGTGTTTTTGCTCACGAGGATTAGTCGCTATGATCTCCTGGTGTCCGCGCTTTATCCCGAAAAGCCTGAGTTTCACGATAGGTATGTGTAAAGATACTTGCGTTCGAATGTCAGGCTGACTGGCTTCAGGGCCAAAGCTGAGATGAGAGGGCTCGTGAAGAAGTTCCCTGGCGGCTTCGAAGACTGGGAAGCCCGACAAGTGTCTTCACCACGCGACCTGTAGAGGTCAATTGCAATCTCGTCAATGGCTGGCTTAGGTCCGTTCGTTTGCACTTTTCACAGTGACTGCTTACCCCGCGTTTGTGCTCGAAGCAACCGTGCCGCAAGACTAGACTGCAGAGACGTCAAAGCGTGCCTTGTGAGTCAGGTGCCACCCTTCTCTGTCGTACCCTGTTTGAGGCATTCAGCTCTGAACAACACGGCTGCCCAATCAGAATGGTCAAGAATGAAAGTAACGAAGCCGCGGAAGAAGAAGGGGTTGCGAATAGGCTCGCAGACCAAGAAAAAGAGGGCGCGAATGTCGAAGACACTCCATACACCACGTTCACTCCCACTCAAAAGCGACTATTACTAGGTGCCTGCTCTACAGCAGCGGTATTCTCAACAATCTCGTCGTTCATATACTTCCCCGCAATTACAGCGATCGCAAACTCATTGCGGGTTTCCATCGAACAGGTCAACTGGTCTATCACCTCGTACTTGATAGTATCGGGAATCGCACCCTCGGTCTTCGGCAGTCTGGCTGACGACATCGGTAGACGACCCGTACTTCTTTTGACCCTCTGCAATTACGTCGGGGCAAACATAGGACTGGCTCTTACGCAGCACTATGCGACTCTCATAGTGATGAGATGTCTGCAAAGTGCTGGTGCTTCAAGTACCATCGCGATCGCATTCGGTATCATCGCAGATATCTCGATACCTGCAGAAACAGGATCTTACGTGGGTGTGTTAATGGGTGCTACCAATGCTGCACCATGCTTGGGGCCTGTCATAGGTGGAGTAGTTTCAGAAAAGCTATCGTGGAAATGGATCTTCTGGCTCTTGGTCATCGTTGCCGGAACTTTGCTGGCGACACTTACCCTCTTCCTTCCGGAGACCGAAAGATGCCTTGTAGGAAACGGGAGTCTTCAACCAGCGCGCCTCATGAACAAATCCATATATTCGCTCGTATGCCGGCGTAGTACCAGGCCTCCGGCAGCTGCATCTTCTCGTAGTCGTGGTTCCGCCTTCCTAGGACCTTTCAAATCACTGTCGGCTCTCAGGAACCAAGCCAACTTCATCGTCATCTTAGCTGGCGGTATCACTTACACCATATATACATGTCTCGCAGCCTCCCTCTCAGCAGCAGCCATTGCGGAGTATAACCTAAATTACCTCACTGCCAGGTTAACCTACCTTCCAAACAGCATTAGCGGTATACTCTCGTCGTATGCGTCTAGCAAACTTCTCAATCACGACTACAAAGTCACTGCGCGCAGACCAGGCCTCCCAGTAACGTCTCAATCAGGCAACAAATTCCCGTTCGCAAAGGCTAGACTGCAATCAATATTTCCAGTTCTAATCGTCAGTACAGTAGCTACCATAGGCTGCAGTTAGGTATTGCACACAAGGTCGCACATCGCTATACTGCTAGTAGTCCAGTTCTTCTCCAGAGCGGCTCAGGTATGTATTTTCGCGACATGCAGAACGCTGCTCACAGATTTGAATCCCGGGAGAAGCTCAACTGTACAAGCAAGTTATAGCCTCGTAAGATGCGCTCTCAGTAGTGCTAGCGTAGCGGCTTTAGAGACCATAGTGCGCCAGATAGGATACGGGTAGACTTTTACCGTCTTTAGAGGCTTAGGACTTTTGTGTGTACCCATACTTTTCTATCTAAAACAGAAGCGTGCTCTATAAAGCAGAGACTTCGTCATTAGGCAATAATAGGTGGCGGGATAGTCGCGTCGCAACCGTAAACATAACGCGTCTAGGCTGAAGTTAGCGTCCCGTGCTGCCTACGATGCCCCGCGGCAGGTACCTTACATTAACACACCACGTCTTCAAGATAACATTACCTGCCATTAATTTGCTCTTCAGCATAAATTGCAACAATCCGAAACACAGTTCATAACAGCGCTCCGCCGCACATCGCAAGGATCAGCATTGCTAATACCTATAACGCTCAGTCATTTACTGTTTTAAGACATCGCTCAGCTCAATACCAAGGCCAACAGTCTGCCCAGCAGTACCTAGGTATCAGCCACATCAACCATATCAATCATAACAGGCATCAAGGCCAACCCGAAGACCCAGCCAGAGATATTCCAGCACTCCCCTTTACCAAAAGTGAAGGGCTCCTTCAGATTAATACAAGTCAGACCTAATTTCTCCGTCAACGGCCTCCCCAACTGCTACCTACAAAATGCGCTAGTTCAAGAATCAAACTATGTCTGTCTTTCATATACCTAGGGCAAACCAGAGAACGAGTTCCCTATCAAGCTCGATAGAAAGCTACATTATGTGCGCCAAAACCTCTACAACTTCCTCCAAGCAGCACGCCAGCGTCTCACTTTCTGCACATTGTAGATAGACGCGTTGTGCATAAATCAAGCCAATATCAAAGAACGAAATCATCAAGTTCAGCAGATAGGTAATATCTTTGCTAGCGCGAGATTAGTCATGTCGTAGCTAGGCAATAATTTCAAGACGCAAGAATTCGTTCAAGCGGTAGGGCAGAAGTTCAACCGCCAGGCCTAGAAGACTTAGAAGGATTTTTATCACAGCAAGCACGGTAATTCACCTCAGGAGAGCAGCTCTCAGAACGCAGAGCCGGACTCCAGCAGTCGCTCCGTCCCAGCTTACGATCTCAGTCAAGAGAATTCGTACAACTCCAAGATCTCAGACTCTTCACTCATTAAAAAACATTACAATCTCATTGCGAACAATGCGTACTAGCAAAGGGCCTAGGTCGCACAGGAAATAATGCTAGCAAACGCGCTAGTAGTAATAGCTAGAGAACACGTCATCAACTTCCTGCCACTCGCGTACTACTGTGTGCACTCGACAAAGGAGTTACATTTTAGTTCTATCATAGAATATGCGTATCTGTTGTACTAGTCACAGGACGACTACCTCAAGAATAGCCCCAGCTGCTCGATCTTGCAGAACAGAAGGCGGCAGGCCACCCATAGATTAATATACCTCCTACAATAGTTCCAAGGAAAATGTTGCACACTTCAACAGAACCGCATTTACTCTTTACTAGCGCTTTGCAAGGGTAGCAACAAGGTCAGGGTCAACTATAATAGTCCAGATACCGAGCTCATCATGCAAGTTCTAGATGCATGCAAAGAAGAGATGTGCTTCTGCACTGCCGCCATCATTGCTCGCATTGTAAAAGGGCCTGACTTCTCCCATCTAGAACAAGAAACTTACGCCATCACTGTAACGCATGACTTCAAGCTTCAGGCATACAGCTCGGACCTCGAAATATGTCCATCATGCTCTCAGCAGGTTACTCAATCCCGACCTGGTGTGTACTTTTGCTTGCACTGCAGTTCCGATGTTTGCCAACACTCTCAGGGGCATCTCTTTTGGGATAACACTCGTCGTGACGACGTAGTAGATCGCTTTCGGCGTCGTGCTGGTCTCCTATGGTTAGCCAGATATGATCTCCGCGAGCCGCGCGTGCTGTGTAGGCCAGGACAAGGAATCGAGATCAACCGCGAAGAGGTCGAAGGCGAGTTCTACACCTTGCGATTTTCTCTTGGTACACTCGTCGATGTCAAGGGTGTCAAATTTGAGACAAAAAGCACGTTCATTCATCGCACACGTGTCGTGGTTGATCACAATATCTGCTCTTCGGCATGAAATCATGCCTAGGCAGAGATGCTGGGTGTGTACGTGCTGTATCCTAGTATTCAGCACGCATGGATCTTGGCAAAGCCTGGGTTATCGTGAAAACGATATCATTATGACTAAAGCTACCTCCACCGACCAAATGACTACATCAGCGGAGTACGTGAAGAATGGTAAACGCTCTCAGACGCCCCAGATATGTAACAATGTACCTGATGCAGGAACGTCTTTGTGGGACCAGTGTCTTTCACGCGTGTCCCAACTGCCCTTTTTGCACATATTGCCATCCTATGCATCTACCTCTGTGACCACGTCCGACGGCGGCTCGCCTCATCCCAGTCTGCATGGCTCGGTCTCCTTCCGCAATCATTCAAGGAAAGATCCTTTCCTCATATACATCCTGGCCATACTGAAGATAGGCTTTGACTACCACGTTGCGTCCTTGAGTAGTGAACCCATGTTTGATCTGTCGACAGAAATCCAATACAGCGGTGAGATTGCTTGACTTATCGTCTTCGACCAGGCCGTCATTGTTGAGTTTCATCTGCTTGCGGGTGTCGTAAGTGCCGGCTGCGCCGCTGATCTTTGTAATGGTGAGCTTTTGTAGCTCTTCCAAGCCCAGGATACCTTGGAATTGGAAGTCATGCAAGAACATGTCGAATGAAATTGGACGGATGGAGAACGTTGTATTGCCACTCCCAGGCGTACACAACAATGGCGAGTAAAGTGTGACGTTAAGCTCGCGAAGTCGTGAGAAGCGCTTGATCGTGGAGGAGTTGACTTTATTGCACCTTTGCGTGAGCTCGCGGGCGTCCTCTTCACTTCCGCCGGGCTCGTCTTTGAGGAATACAATCCCTCGCTGCCCGTTCACGTTCCTTGTTTTCGCCTTTCGAACATAGAGATGCAGGGATCTTGTCTCCAGTGAAACCATGATCCTACTGAGAGCTGTACAGTCGTCGAACTCGAAACGCGCTGCCTCCAACAAACAAGAGAGCAGATCACTTCGCAGGCTCTTACTGGTGAGACAAAGAGACGGCAGAAACGGTGAGTGCTTCCTCTTAAGTCGGATAGACTGCTCATGGTCCTCAGAGAATCGCAAGTGTGGCCAATCCTGACAGGCTATCGATTGCTTTTCGTCCAGGAAGTACTGCTCGTAGACCATGCATCGAAGCTCCTAGTCAAAATCGTCAGCTAATGTCACAGTCAGAACCGGTACGATGATAACACGTACAGCAGGTAAAGTCATGAAGGGGTGGAATGCGGGTTGGTGAAGTAGCTCCTCAACATATGGGTTGAACGCGATCAGGAGCTCTTCAAAACCATCTTGCGCATCGTCGACGTCCAGACAATTGGTCGCATTATTCAAAGCCGGCGCCATGGTGTTGTTGGAGGTGAGGCGTGTCGAGCGGGTGAAACACGCGTGGTAAGAGCGGAGTGCGTTTACTACAGACTTTGGAAGGCAAGAGCGACTAGAATTGGGAAGTAACGGAGGATGTTGTTCGGCGCGCTCTCTCACGTTGTTGCGGCTGACAGCGGTAGCGTCGTAGTCTGCAGAGTACTTCTAACTCTGGTGAACGAGGTAGTCGCGTGAAATGTCTGGGTACCTACATATGTACGTAGAGGCGGCGCGCTAAGGCTATCACACTAGAACTCATCCGGCCTGGTCACCCAAAGTTGCACACCTGGGCAGTCCTGTTGTAATGGCACTGCCAGCTGAATTCTAGACTGAGTCGAGGTTTTTGTGTGGCACCTCGAACAGCTTCGTCGAGAGATGCATCGGCTGGATACAGACATGCTTGCACTACCGCCCACCACGAGTTAAGTAGAACAACTGAAGATAGTCAAGAACAAGACTATCAACTGATACTTTGTATATTCTCGTTGATCAGCTAGCACTACTAACATGCTGGGCACCTCGAAATTACATCTCTACTCGTCATCGTCGTCGTCGTCGACAACAGGTACAGGGTCAGCTTTGCCTGTGGTCTTAACCTTCCGGTCCTTCTCCGCACCGGCTGGCTTCTTGCCTTTTGGGTTGGCGTCTTCATCCTCGTCGTCGTCTTCCTCGGGCACCGCGGCGTCGTCATCATCGTCGTCGCTCACGTCGTCTTCCTCCTCCTCTTCATCATCCTCATCATCTTTGGGCTTGGTGCGCTTGGTCTTCTTCTTTGGTGCTGCAATCGAGTGTGAGAAACTTATGTTCGATGATATTGGGTGAAGGTATTGGCTTACGAGGCTCTTCGGCGTCGGAGTCGTCTGAATTGAAGTTTGATCCGTCAGACTCGTCATATCTACGTGACATGTGTTAGCACTGTGATGAAAGTTCCATAATCGAAAGTAAAGCGCAGCCCAGAAGTCCTCGACACTCAAAGGAGAGACGTGACCGCCGAGCGAATCCAAGTTGAGAGCGTTGTGGGGATTGTTGCGAAGCGCCGTCGCGTCAACCGTTTCTCCATCCCGAAAGCCCGGGCGTAACAGCGACTCCGCGCCTGTCAAACTTTCGTAGAACTTGGTAACAAGCCCAAAGATCCTAATTCACTTTGAAGAAGGAAGGCGATTGCGATGCCTTCAAGAGGGGATGCATGCGACGCGAAGTGCAAGGGCCATGACGTCAAGGAAGCGCCGACTTACTCTTCTTCCTCTTCGCTCTCATCACTTGGGAGAGCGACAAGCTCCTCCTCCTGATTCTTCCTTTTTCTTGTGGACATTGTGTCGTGCTGGGGAAATTTGACAAAGGTTGGTAGGTCAAGGTAGTGTTTTGGGGTAGGGCGAGAGCTGAGAGCTATGGAGAAGCTTGCGAGCGGGGACCCAGGGACGGGCGCCCGGATGAAATAGACACCACCTACGCAGGCCCTACCAAGGAGGCTGGGAAGCCAGGGCTCTTGCGGGCTTTTGCTCAATGGCTTAGTTCGGGCTGTTCGGGTGTGTCCAGGTTAGCCAATCATTGGCCATGTGGTCATCACCCGCATGGGAGCACCGGGACGGGGGCACACAAGCGTTGCGCTGATGTTACTTTGCTGCAGGTACCGCTCAATGTCTGTTGATATGAGAGATCCGTCGAGAGTGTCGCAAAGAAATACCTCGCAACGGCAATTGTAGGATAGATAATCGTGAACATTGTGCATCCAACCAGCCTCCACAGTATAGGAGGGACACAAGAACAGCTACGCAGTGTGCTCCTTTATGTCAAGTCATTTGTAACTACAGGAATGCGTCAAATGCAGCTCATATTTGTTCCATATATGTAGAATTGCATATGAGATCCCTTCGACGGCTAGCAACCTGATACAGCGTTGAAGGCAGCAGGCTCCCATAGTCACGGTGTTGGCCATGTGTTCGCAGCTCAAGGTGCAGAGCTCTGTTCCCAAGACGGTCAAGCTCACCCCACTTAGCGCCAGTCATCGCTAGTGCCCCTCCCGCGGTACCGCGTCTCATTCGTGCTGCCTTGCCGACTTTACTTTCTTACTCTCGATCGTTCCTCAACCGACCCGACACAACGCTCGTTCGCACCCGCGCCCTACGTTCCCACACGCCCAATATGTCGGCAGCTCAGGTCGCAAGAGGACCGCGGATCAAAGGTCTGAGCGATCCCTACCACTATCAATCCAAAGCAACGCAACGAAGCAAGGCGCCCGTGGTGGCTGCCACCAAAACCGCGAAACGTACATACACCTGCTGCGAGAAACCCGAGATAGATACTTCCGACAATGAAGTCTTGTGCTACAACTGCGGTGCTGTCCACGGCGAAAACAACATCGTCTCCGAGGTTACTTTTGGCGAAACTTCGGGCGGAGCAGCCATTGTCGAGGGTGGCTTCATCCACGCCAACCAGCGTCACGCGAATTCCATGGGCGGCACTATGCGGGGTCTGGAGGGCATGGGGAGCAGGGACCAAGCTGCGATGAATGGCAAGAACTCCATCGTAGCTCTAGGCGCATCTCTCAACCAGCGCGAGGCCGTCGTAGAACAGGCTTACAGCTGGTACAAGCTCGCCATGAACCACCGATTCATCCAGGGTCGCCGCATGAGGACCGTTGCCGCTGTCGCGATCTACATGGCGGCACGGAGACAACCCGAGAACACGCTCATGCTCATCGATCTGGCCGAGAAGATTCAGACCAACGTCTGGCAGCTCGGAGACACGTACAAACAGTTTCTGGAGATGTTGAAGGAGGACGACCCCGCACAGCTCGTGGGCACAAAAGCCGTTCAGGAGATCGAGCCGTTGATGCTGAAGTACTGTCGAAAGCTCGAGTTTGGAGAGGATTCTCACAGGGTCGCCGACGACGCCTGTAGGGTCCTGAAGCGCATGAACCGCGACTGGATGGTGCAAGGTCGTCAGCCGGCTGGGTTGTGCGGCGCCTGTATCATCATAGCCGCCCGCATGAACAACTTCCGCCGGACCATCCGAGAGGTCGTCTACGTTGTCAAGGTCGCCGACTCCACCATCACCTCCCGTCTATACGAATACAAGAGGACACAGAGCGCGGCTCTCACGGTCAACCAGTTCCGAGAGTTCGGACCCCGTCTCAAGGTCAAGGCTCAGCCTCCTGCCATTTGGAGGCGCGCAGAAAAGGAAGAGCGAAGGGAAAAGAGGAGGCAACGAGCAATTGAGGGTGGCGACCCGGATACTACAGAGAACCAGTCGGGAGATAGCGAGGCAGAAGGAGGTTCGGATACCGCACCAAAACGCACGAGCAAGAGGCGCAAGTCAAATGACGGTTCATCTCAGCCAGTTGCGACCCAGACGGAAGCTTCTGGTACACAGAATAGCGATCCATCCTCGGAGTTAGCGGCTCTTGACGGCAATACGGAGGCGGTCCTGGAGTCTGTTGTTAGTGCAGTCGAGGAAGTCGAGGCTGGTGAGACCATCGACCCAGACTTTGTCATGCCTAAGAAGCGTGGCCGACCACCAAAGAAGCCGCGAGTGCCCGTCGTGATCGCCGAAGAGGATCTCGAAATTGAGCACGAGCTTGAAGACGAAGTCACAAATACCATCAAGGACTGGGAGGGTATCTTCAAGGAAATTGCCAACAGCGAAGACCACGAGCTACTCAGGCGTTCTGGCTGGACAGCAGCAGAGATGGCCCGCGTCGCCGCCGACACCCGCGATGCCGTCCCCGTAAACACAGATCCTGAGATTGGTGAAGACGAGTTCAACGACGACCCCGACGTTGCCACCTGCATCCTCAACCCCGAGGAAGTCCGCCGCAAGGAAGCCATCTGGATCACGGAGAATGAACAATGGCTGCGCGACCAACAGACGAAGATGTTGCAGGCCGAACTCGAGGCCGCAGAGGACAAACCCAAGAAACCCAAGCAGAAGCGCAAACACCACCAGATGGGCGATGGCAATGTTCTTGAGGGTCAGCCTGCGGCTAGCGCAGCAGACGCTGCCCACAAGATGCTCAAGAAGCGCGCCAAAGCTTTCAGTAATCACATCAACTACGACCGACTCAAGGAGTTGTTCCCCGGTGGTCACCCTTCTGCGAGCCCATCTGCCAGCGGTCAGGGTGCTAGTTCGGCTTCAACACCTCAGGCTGTTGTGCAGCAGCCTGCGGATATCGACGCGGAAGGCGAGGAAGAAGAGGAGGAGGAGGAAGAAATGGAAGAGGTAGAAGAAGAAGAGGAAGATTTGGAGCACAACTATTTGGAAGACGATGATGAAGGATTTGCTAACGAAAGCTACGACTACTAGAAGTTTTGTCCGTGGTTCTTCTTGGGAGTATCAAGAGGTTGGCGATTGGTTTTGCATTTACATGGCGAAAAGTTTACTAGATATCACGACCTTGGTCGGCTATCTCTCACGAAGTATTGGAGCGTGCTTTTACAGCCGCGTTGGCTGGAAATTAGATGCGGAGTATCTTGGGGTTGAGACTTTGCATATATACCCCCGCTTGCGAGCGCAGCATAGCATCATGGCAATGGCGTTTAGCATTCATCAATGAACATTCAGATCAATATCCTTCTCTTTTACACGTTCCAGACTTCGCGCATACATCACGTTTCAAAGTCAGAGGCGACGGATATTGTTTGTAGGGGAGGAATTCCCAATGATAGATTGGTCCCTGCTTCGTAACTCATTCACACATGCTCATGCTACCCTAAATTTTTGGTATGCGAATCCCTTGCCATAAAACGCCGAAAAAGTCTATCATGGAAGACACAGGCGCCTCTTTCCCCGAACGGTGGTTTACGCCGTCCCAAACCTCACTCTACACGCAAGAGACAGACTAGCACATCTTGTACTGTGACTCGCCTGATGCTTGCCTGTGCATGTCGTTCGCCTCGAGCTTGTATGAGATGCTAATGTCCAAATCGCGGTGGTTCTTCTCGTTGGGCTTGTTCTCTAGTATGCCGCTGATGGTCTCGCCCTCCTCGACCGTCAGTACATCCTTCAGGTAGAAGACTGTCTGCTTCCAGTGGGTGTACTTGGTGTGGGGACCGGTGGAGAAGCGGATGGGCTTGTGGCAGGCGGCGAACTCGATGTCGAACCATGCGATGACGGCGTGGATGAAGTCGCTGCGGCGCGCCTTGAGCTCGTACGGTAACCGGAAAGCGAGGTCGGCGACGGTGCAGGTGTAAAGGTCAAGGGTGATGACGGGGGAGGGGTCGGTGACGACGGCCTTGATGTCGACAGTGTCGACGAGGGGCTCGGTAATGGCGGTGGCCTTGAGAGGAGAGTAGTCGAAGCCCCAGACGTTATCCCAGACTGTTCTGTTAGCAGTGTTGCAGCAAACCAGAGCTTTGCTGTACTTACATCCAATCTTCTCCTCCTTGTACTCGCCATCCTCGATACCAGCCATGAAGATGGTAGCCTTGTCGGGGAAGATCAAGCCGTCCTTGACCAGGTACTTGTCGCGGGCGTAGAGAACCGTGTCCAACATGGACTCGTAGAGCAGGAAGTAGCCCATCCACTCGGATATTATTATGTCGACCTTGTCGAAGGGAAGTACAACCTCCTCCATCTTGCCCTGTAGCAGGGTAATCTTGTCCGACATGCCGTTGACCTCGACGATCTCCTTCGCCTTGTCGATGATGGTTGACATGTCAACACCAATGACGTGCTTTGCGCCGGCCTTTACGGCGAACCTATAGCCAGCATATCAGCGCGTGCTCGTGTGTGGTATGTAGAAGGGCGAGGAGCGCATACATGCTCAGGATGGATGTGCCGCATCCGACATCGAGGACGACCTTGTCCTTGAACAGGTGAGGGTTTTGGTAGATAGCGTCGCGGTAGCTCTTGGTTCGGACTTCATCTTTCTAAAGCGCATTGTTAGTCGTCGTAGTAAAGGTAATGGCAGGGAGGGGCAATCGTACCAGCATCTCCTCGTGGATACCTGTATTCGCGCATTAGTATCGTTCACCTCATCAGAGTGTACTTGTACGGACCATGGTGGTTGTAGCTACACGCAATCATGTTAGCGAAACTCTACGCATGTCTGGACCCTCAATGATGCCTACCTGTTGAAGTAATGCGCCTCAGAGTGCGCCATGCCCGTGAGGGGGTCCTTCTTTCCGGCTTCTTGCTGGTTCGCCATATTGAGAGTAGAGTGTGAGGAGACGAGGAGGTGTGAGCGGTTGAAAGTAGAGGAAGAGAGACTGGCGTTGCTCCGGTCCAAGTAGGATAGGGAAATTTTGGTTTTGGTAGTACCAAGCACAGACTCGCTCGGTCCAGGGTCTCACCAGGGCAATCTCGGTGGGAAGCGGGGCATCTGAGACTTTGGACGCTAGGCCCAATGAGGCGTGACACGAAGAAGTTCACTTTTTTTGCTGTCGATCCCAAGGTTCACGCAACCAATTTTCTTTACCATTGTACTACGTACGATAAATACAGGCCAAGGCTTCAAGACAAATACAGCATCAAGAACAGCATAGTGTCAATTTGTAACATCCAATCAGAGAAGGTAGTGAGAGGGGTATATCGTGCCAAAAGCAGAGACCGCCCTCGTCGTTACGTCGTGAGAGTTTTGTTTGCGTTATGTCGTAAAGTCGTTAATGGATTTTGATCGTAATGTCGTTATATATTAGAGAGTGTCGTACATTTTGGTCGAAAGGGATTGCTCTGTTGAGCTCGTCAGGAAGCCTACCGGACTCTCATGCGATAAAAGTTTTCTTTGAACTGTTTCGCGTCTATTTATGTATCAGTATCGGAAACTTATAGATACTGGGGTGAAAATACCTTCTGGTGAAGTGAAACTCAACCGGTACTTGCCCGTAGGGCCTTTGGGTAGCCTGTAGCTATCACTGAAGACATACGGATGCAGCTTCTCAAACTGGATTGTTTCTGGACCGACGCGCTTCATCCAGTCACCGCGTCCGACATATGGCGTCACAAATGCCGTCCAGATAGGTATGTCCTTCATAGGTCCGCGACGAGCAGTAGCTTCGAACCGTACACAGCCCGAGTCCGTATCGTATTTGACGCGGAAGACGTGGAGATACTTGCCGTCAACGGTCTCACTGAGTAGCGTCAGCACGAAACAAGAGGCTGGTGACAATCACTTACCCTGCAAACATAATCCTTTCTCCAGGCAGGAAAACATCTTCGAGCCCCTCTGCAATGGGAGTGTGGTCCTGGCGCTTCATAGCTATGGCGGTACAATAGAAAAGTACCATACCTGAAAGAACATTAGAGGGTGTTTGCAGGAGCGACTCAAATGTACCTACGTTCATATAGAGGGAAGCGTAGTCTAGCCCACAGGTCAAGTTGACCATCTTGGCGATTGATGCGACAGAGCTGCAAGCACGATCCTGCGCGCCGTACTGCTAATGCGGTGATTGGAACCTGGTACCTCACACGGTTGCCATTGTGATCCGTAGTAAGGAAGAGTATTCGTGCACGGTTGTCGTCGGCCCTCCAGTAAATTCTTATCCAGACCTCAGTTGCTTCGAATGGCAGTTCTAGAATCCTTTCAAAGCCATCGGTGTCTAACAGCTCAATCACTCTTGGTTCATCTCTCCCGAAGCACTCAGTAGGCTCCGAGGGGCTTTGAGATGGTGTAGAGCCGTGTCGTCCATCGAAGATCTTCATTGCCCAATGAGCGACTGGCTCTGAATCCGTCGACTGGTTCGAGTAGGCCTGTGATGATGCGGACGAATACGTGGGCGACTGAGGGATTTCTGGCACTGGGGGAGGAATATACGGTATGTCCCCTATGCCTCCCCACGTTGGTGCAATATGAGATCGATGAGGTAGCGGTAGCGGGGCTGGCTGGTACCCGTACTGGGCTGCCGGATACGTGGGGTGTTGGTGTATCTTCGGTCTAGACACTTTGGGGGAAGGCGGTTTTGGTGTTCTAGCACCACTCTTCCCATTGCCATGCACTGAGAGCTTACTGAAGTAAGATTCAATCGGCGTTGGCTTTTGTTTCTTGAGCAGCCTGGATAGCGTGACTTTGAATTTAGCCAATGCGGCCTCATCCTCGTTTCTAGAACCCGTCAGCCATCCCGTTGAACATGTCGCCAATGTTACATACCCCTTCAGAGCGTCGTGCATGCACTGTAGATATGTCCTAACAATCTCGAATCTTTTGGGTAAAGACATGCCTTCCGCCGTGAAATCCGTAAGCGCATCTTCCCAGATGAGTGCGTACGGTGGTGTGCCGGGGAAAGCACCGGGCGCAGCGTGCCTGCTCTTCTTGGACCTGGTGAATATTTCTTGAACATCGTCAAGCGTGTGTCCTAAGCTCGGGAGGCAAACCTCCAGGTCCGTTCGTATGAAGCCTGCATATCTGCCATAGCGGGACGACTCCAGCGCCTCGTTCAGCTCGAGTAGAGCGTGCGATATGGCAAACAACTCTGCGATATGGCTCCTGACGTCTTTGCGATATTGGGGGATCTCACTCTCGAAGGAGAGTAGGCCCGTTGCGGTCTCCTCAGCTTCCTTGGCGTAGTCGAGTAGTCGCCAGTCCATGACAGGTGCGTACCGGGGATAGATAGCCGAAGACAAAGGTTTAGTAGCAACGCATGCTTTAGACGCCTGGGAATCGGCGGGGAAAGGGAAGAGAAATCGCTCAAGCGATGGCGCTACGAGATGAGCGTCTGGGGTAGACGTCTGGTGGCATGCGCGCTTGAAGAGGGTCGGCTCTTGACGTGTTTATGCAGCAGCACGCCGGTGAGAAACGCCAATGACCTATGCCGACAGAATCCCTTACCAAGCCTGCATGTAACCCGCGGTCTTCGCTTCCTCTTTCACACAATTTTTCTGTGCAATCAGTTTGGCCCCCAATCTTCTAGAGTTAGATTCTGTTAGTGTCGGCCAGCCTGCGGCATGCAATTGCGCTGCACCGCTGGGCAAGATGCTGTTCTGGACAGGCGGAGACGCCACCCCGATAGCTGCACGTCTGCGCTGTCAGTGGAAGATCATTCCTATCGTACTGGCTCGCAGCACAAAAAGTATCGAAATGTCCAGAGCTTTCGGCCTAATGACATCGTTGGTCTGCATGTCGGCGCCGCGGCATGGTGTTCTGCCTAACTCTCTCCACTATAGCATGGACTAGTCCTGCAATGTAAGCAATGATTGTTCAACGGTTGAGGAGACCTTCGAAGCCGCCACTCCGGATTGTGCGATGATATGCCTCTTGACAACTGTCAACCATGAGAGTATCGATGTGAAAGCCGCCACGCTCGAGCTAAGCATCAATAACCGACTTAGATCATAAACAACAATCTGCTCACTCTCTCATGGTTTTGTGTGGAATGGTAGGAAGTGTCTTTCGAAAATGATGGGATAGACATGCAGATATATATGTATTGGACGAGACCAAGGCTGCGCCTCACTCTGTCCAAGCCACCACCGCAATGGGGCTGCAAGTCTCACCCATGAGCCCCTTTCGAGGCAACCATATAACTGAAGTTGAATGATTTGTTTTGGTTGGTTACTAATGTGGGGCCATGACTTCTGCGGCATTGACGGCAAACCCTCGATCTTGGCAACGAGAGCTTACGCGCCCATACGCGTAGCAGCTGATGGTCCAGCATATGTCCATCACTTTCCAAGAGCCTTCAGCCTCTCGTCCACCAGCTTCGAAACCATCTTCTCCAGTATCGCGAATTCTCCATTCGATGACCCTTCGAAGTATCCAGCTACGCTCTTCTCAACATACTTACCAACCTGGTCGACCTCGACATTGACGTCCTCGCCCGGCTTCTTGCTTGCCGTGACGACTTTCTCTTGCGTGTAGGCAATCAACATGACCTCCCACCAACCCTCAGGACCATCCTGCACCTTTGTAACCGTCAAGCTAGCACCGTCTATCGTGACGTAACCCTTTTCGACAATGTATCGCAGGACCGAGGTATCGCGAGGCTTGAAGCGGAAGGTAAGCGCGTTGCCGTCCGGCGTTACCGACTCGATGGTGGCGATGGTGTCGACATGTCCTTGCACGAAGTGACCGCCCATGCGTGTGTTGGCAGAGACCGCGCGCTCTAGGTTGACATTGGAGCCCTCCTTCAGCGACCCCAAGTTTGTCCGTCGGAGGGTTTCGGGAGCGCATCCGATCTTGAACGATGACTTGGTGAATTCCGTGACGGTGAGACAGGTGCCTGATTGGATTAGACCAAGAGATGATTTATAGTAGTACCAACGTACCATTGACACTGATACTGTCGCCCAGATGGGCGTCACCCAGTATGTCCTCACATCCGGAGATGGTCAACGATGTGCCGCCGCCTCCCGAGGCCGTCTGGTCGAGCTTCTCAAGGGCGGCAACAGCTAGCCATCGTCAGCCGAGCCGCGCATAGAATAAATTGCATCATAGCTTACTGCCAATGGTTTCAACGAGACCAGTAAACATGGTGGGGTGGGTAATTGGAGAGAGAAACTTGGTGGGGTTCTGCAGCTAGCGATGAGCCTCGGATCACCGAACTGGAGCTAGCCCATCGTCGGGAATAGGTATGCCGTGGAAGCATTCCGTTACCCGGCACATGTCGTGATTCTACATACACCACATCCAAATGGCAAGCATGCTGCTGAGAAGCTCGAGACGCGCTTTCCAGGCGACGGTGACATGTCCACGGTCCAATTGGGCACGACCCAGCCATGTTCGACGGCTAGCAACTGAGGCATCGAATGCAGATGCATCCAACCTGCCTCTAGCCGGCATTAAAGTGCTTGATATGACAAGAGTACTTGCTGGAGTGAGTCATAAATTACAAGCTCGCTAGAAACTCGACTGACTTCCAGTAGCCATATTGCACACAAATATTGGGTGATCTTGGGTATGCGATGGATGACCCTGTACGGCCCAACCGAGGTTGGCGAGATCAAAGACTCGGAAATTGACATTGTGTTAGAGCGGACGTGATCAAGATTGAACATCCGACAAGAGGAGGTGAGCAGATCGAAATCTCAAGTTCAAAGTTTACCTTTCAAACTAATTGTTTCGGCCAGATGACACACGAGCATGGGGACCACCTTACGCGAAGTACACCGACAACCAAGAAGGACCAGGAGAGAGTGCTTACTACTTGGGTGTTAGTGGAACACCCCTATCACGGCTCTTCCGTGGCTCACGGGTAATAGGTCAACCGTAACAAGCGATCGATAGGCCTGTCTTTCCAGCACCCAGCTGGTGTAGACATCTTGCATCGCCTAGTCAAAGAATGTGATGTTCTTGTCGAGAACTATCTTCCAGGATCTCTAGCAAAGTACGCCATGGACTATGATACCGTGTCAAAGATCAACCCCGGTATCATCTACGCCAGTATCACAGGTTACGGTCAGACAGGTCCATACAGAAACAGAGCAGGTTACGACGTCATGGTTGAAGCGTATATCTCCCGACTCATTTTTCTAACACCATGCCAATGCTAACATCATCCAGCGAATTTGGTCTAATGCACATAACCGGAACCCGCGATGGCCCACCCGTTAAGGTCGGCGTGGCAGTAACCGATTTGACAACTGGTCTTTACACCTCCAACTCCATCATGGCAGCTCTCTTCCGGCGCCTCAGAAACCCAACCTCCAAGGGCCAACACATCGACGTCGCGTTATCAGACTGCCAAGTTGCCACCCTGGCCAATATTGCCAGCTCCACTCTCATTAGCGGAAAACGCGACACTGGACGCTGGGGAACTTCGCATCCATCGATTGTACCGTACAAGGCGTTCAAGACGGCGGATGGAGATATCTTGCTGGGAGGCGGAAATGATAGGTTGTATGGAGTTTTGTGCAACAGGTTGGAAAGGCCCGAATGGATTCTCGATGAGAGGTTCAAAACGAACGCGTTGAGGGTGCAGCATAGGGACGAGCTAGAGGATTTGATTGAGACGGAGACGAAGAAGAAGACTACACAGGAATTGCTCGACGTGCTCGAGGGAAGTGGAATGCGTAAGTAACAGCTGTATGCCTCGGGGTTCTTAGCTAACGATTCCAGCGTACGCCGCTATCAACGATGTGCAGGATACATTGAACCACGAACACGGTATGTATATTATTCCTGCTGGAATAAGTGTTTCTTATCGATGCTAATCTGGAGTAGTCCTCGCAAGAGACATGGTCAAAGAGATAGAGCACCCGGCATGTGGACCGATTAAACTAGTCAACACGCCCGTGAAATGGTCAGACTCAACTCCAGGCATACCACTACCTCCGCCCACACTAGGCCAGCATACGGACGAGATACTCGGTGATACATTGGGGATGAGCAAAGAGGAAGTGGCGAATTTACGCAGCGGAGGAGTCGTTGCATAGCCTATTCCCATTCCTCCAACTCAGGTCTCGGGTCCAACACGCCATAGTCAATATCTAGAGATGTCACTTCTTGAGGAACGTATCTCAAGCCAAATCTGTTCTTGAGTTCAGTCTCAAACACCCTGCTAAAGGCATTGAATCCCCCCGAATAATTCATCTTCAGTAGAACGAATCTCTTGATGTGATCCTTACGCGTCTCTCCAGGAACCTCTAGCACCACTGAGCAAGCGGTGTCTTCTGTCCAACTTTCGATAATGAGCTGGGGCTCAGACCAAATCGAAATTTGAAGGGGTCGGCGATAGGCGGTAGCTGGGTCAGTGAGCCCTGGCTGTATCGGGTTGAATTGAGATGCAACATGATACTCAGGTGTTGGTTCGTTACCGCACTCTCGATCATCCATTATCTGGTGTATCTTCCACAGCTGCATGAGGGCAACCTGGTGACGTTCTTCTCCTGGAAAAGTCCTTATTAAGCGGTCGCCTGGGTGGCCACTAGCTGGATCCTGGAAGCCATCAGGGAGCACTAGGAACTCGCGGGGTTCGGGCTGGGCGTATAGCCACTCAAAAAAGCCATCAAGGAGCGGATGTGTTGTTCTTTCCTCCAAGGGCAGTTGCAACTTCTGAAACACAGGGTATTTCGCCATTTCTTCCATCAATAAAGCTACCCGGTGTTCCGTTATAGCAGTGACGTCCGGTATCGGAGTGTTGTCCATTATAGCTGAAATGCTGGCAAGAGGCTCAACAAAAACACGTGGTGCGTACACAGTTGTGAAGACAAACAGGCGGAAGTGCGACCGGATCATGGCTTCTGTCTGGGGCTTTGGCCATTCGTAGGGCGAGTCAATTTGTTCAAGATAATAGCCCCCAAGGTAATGCTGTTGGATGTTCAATGAACAGTGCTGGCCGGTAGACATGTAGGCCAACACCAACAGGTACAGGTCCATGACAGCCTCGACCTCTTGCAACCAAGTTGCGGCTGGAATAGAGGGACAGCCTGGCGGCACTTCAGTCTCATTCAGAACGGCCTCGAAGAAGTCTTTTGAAGGGTAGAAAGAATAGTCGCCTCGTGCGTGGTCGTAATGGCAGCATGACTCCCAGGGTATGCGCTTCAGGCGGATAGCAAGTAGTGCGTCGTCAACTTCTATCGGAATGGATTTGCGGCGCAGCAGGTACAGGGCATGAGGTTTGCACTTGGTGTCGACGACTTGCTTGAAACTG